CGCGTTTTAAAATTATAAATTGTTTATAAATTTTAAAATACTCATAACTCAAGTTAAAACTAAAATATAATAAAAAGCCCATGAGGTTGCCTAGATAATAATCTTACCTTTAGATTTTATAAGAGATCAATTCGCTCTAATTTTTAAACTAACGGAGCTAATCGTGTTCTGCTGAGCTTAAAATTTGCTATGTTACGTACATGTAAGACGGAGACAACACATGAGGGTATCAGTGTATCACGTCCTCTTAAATATACAAATAATACAATCATTAGTTTTTATTTAATTGGATTTATATTATTCTATTAAACCTATTGATAGCCGATAGGTAACTTATAGGATAAGTAAATAAATTAATGTTTTACTATCTTTAATGTTATTATTTAATTGGTTAAATTGAAACGTTTCATGTTCTTTGTTTATCATCATGATATCATTATTCATTACTAACTCTTATATGTTTTGTTCCGAAAAGATATTTTGTTGATGGTCTATCGTCCATAAATATTAAATATATAGGTGACCATAATTTTTCAATTATAAAGTTGGCAAATTTAATCAGCTGCCCCACTCTTTCAAAATCTGAAATTACGCCCCTGAATTTAATATTAATTCAATTAATATAATATAATCTATATATATATATATATCGTGTGTCCCAAAAATCAGGGGCCACTTTACTACTCATTACCATGTAAATATTTTTCAATTCTGTTTGCGGGACATTAAACTAGACTAATGGATCGTAAATTTCTTTGACTCACAATGTTTTTAAATCATGTATTTTGCGCATGCGCAATAAAACTTACATTTTTTTAAATGGCAACCCGTAATTTTAATATCATATTCGGGTTCATCGATTTTTTTCAAGTCATTTTGATGTATCAACTTATGTCCTAAACCCAAAATTGACTAAACTAGAGCTAAGTAAAGTTTAAATAATTTAAAAATTCAATTTAATTAATTTTTTTTTTCTAACTGTACGTACAGTTATTTTTTTCTTCTAAACACCATGAAACAAACAAACAAACAATCAAAATTATTATTATTAAATTAATTACCTAACTATTTACTATTTATGAATTATTATCTTATTTTATTATTACGAATTATAAAATAACATAGTTTAAACATGTATTTTCAAGAAACAACATTTCTATTTTATTTTTTTTACCATTACTATACATTTTTATTTACAATTTAATTTACAGAAATTACAGACATAAGCTATTCAATAAACTAAGAAAAAAATAAGTACGTACAGTTAGAAAAAAAAAATTAATGAAATTGAATTTTTAAATTATTTAAATTCTACTTAGCTCTAGTTTAGTCAATTTTGGGTTTAGGACATAAGTTGATACATCAAAATGGCTTGAAAAAATCGATGAACCCCATAGGCGCAATTTCAGTTTTTATCTTGGAGGGGCTTAACATATTTAAATGAAACAGACCCGTGGTGGGCTTTGCCCCCCCCCCCCCATTCAAGTACCAATATGGCAATTTCATTTTTTTTTCACCCACTTTCCCACATTTAATATATTATAAATTATAATGCATCTATTAATAAAGCTAAAAATATTTGTACGAAAAAATAACACCATTTAGGTAAATAAATGTAATATATATTTATTTATTAAGTATATTATTATAATTGTAACCTTCGGTTAGAAATTGCAAATGTATCTAATATTTTTTCGTTGGACAATTCATTTGATAAATCTCGTTCTATATAAATTAATGACAAATTTGTAAATCTATCTTGATTCATAGATGTTCGAAGCCAATTTTTAATCTTTCTCATTGCTGAGAATGATCTTTCACATGTTGCAGAGCTAATTGGAATTGTTAAAGATAATGATAACAGTTTATATAAATTAGGATAAAGCTCTGCATCCATGATTAATTTGATATCTTCCAAAGTGAAATTGGGGTTTCTACGAGACACACAGTTTTTTCATTCGGTTCATTGAACCCGAATATCATATTAAAATTACTGGTTGCCATTTAAAAAAATGTAAGTTTTATTGCGCATGCGCAAGATACATGATTTAAAAACATTGTGAGTCAAAGAAATTTACGATCCATTAGTCTAGTTTAATGTCCCGCAAACAGAACTGAAAAATATTTACATGGTAATGAGTAGTAAAGTGGCCCCTGATTTTTGGGACACACGGTATATTATAAAATAGAAGCCCCTTTTTTGTATGGACGAGCATATCTCGAAAAGAACTCTTCTTATTTTAATACGGTTTTCACTAATAAATCGGTCGAGTCACAGGAAAGGTTTTGATGTATAATAATTTTCTTTGGTAAAATTAATTGGATGGCCGAAAGTAATAACACTCTATGTCTATATATATAAAAATAAATGTTTGTCTGTGTGTCATTGATCTCCTCCTAAACCACTGGACATGTTTTGTGTTTTTGGGTGAGTTGGTTTAGATTCACAATTAGACCCAGTTGGTTCAACTCGGAGAGGTGCTCGAACAGGTAATTTGAGATTTATGATAGACACTTTTGTTTATGAATGGTTGCTATTGGTTATAGGAGAAATAATTATCGTAAAAATTAGTATTTTAATTGTTTGCCATTAGGTACTCTGGCAGATGAGGTAAAAGGTTATGATCCATAAAATCGTCGCACGCTTATGGTTTCGAATAAAGAAATTATATCTTAAACAAATATGAGAGTTGAATGTATATTTGTAGCTATTATATAGGTTCTCAAAAACTACTTGACCGAATTTGTTTAAATTTCAAATTATTCTTGGAGATATCAGGAAAGTTTAAAGAGTAGTTTGAACCACGTTTGATTTATACCAAGTGCTATTTAGCCTATACCCAATCCACTACAAATAAATTGTCCATCTAGGTCGATTTAGTTCGCAAAGCAACCCAAATTTATTTGTGAACTGAAGTACCTAGGTAGGTACACCAAAACCAAGATATACTTATATAATCTAAATTTTGTATTTTCATTTATTGACGGTTATAGGAACAACTAAAATTGGATGTTGGTTTATCCGAAGTTAATAGCCTCAAAAAATGACCGTGTTCAATAAGTAATTTTAATAGATTTTTACTTGAAACTCAGAGGGTGTATATAGCTTAATTTTTAAACTCATATAGGCTGTAGATAGGTTAAGAGTAGCTCACACATGATTTTTTTTAACATACGAAAAAAGAAATTTTTTGTCAATCTAAATGGTTGCAATTCGTTACATATTATATTAATGTTATAATTAGATGAAATATGCTACATACATTTTGTACAAATATATTTATTAAAAATACAAATTTTTGGCCTGGTCAACGTCGGGCGGGAAGCTACTATAATATAATACAAATAATAGTATATGCCTTATTAGTTATTATATTATTTGTTTTAATATAATCACACTAAATAATAATGTCTTTACTCTTTTAATTTTGGAGAATTCGAATTAAGAGTACCACTCTTGCGAGAAACCTGTGTAAACTTAGGTATATTGTAGGTAATAGGTATTATAACTAGTAATTATTAACTATTACATGTGAGAAAACAATATTTTTTAGAATTACAATATATAAGTATGACTGTATAAACGGTATAACTCATTCTTGCTAACAGGTAAGGGCCCCGGTCTAGAAATGTTCACATGGGCCCCTTATTATGAAGTTGCACCACTGCATCCATTACCATAGGCCCAAATCCATTAAAATTTCTGGAGGGGCTAACATTTTTAACATCAATGTGAGTGGGGGGCTTTGGCCTTTGATCCCACACAAGTAAAAAACTGTATATTTTTTGTTGCTTGCACTCGATTGACTCGACTCCTTTACAGTGCTCTGGTTAACTATTTTTTTTTTTTTTTTAAATTTATTTCCTGTGCACAAGATTTTTGTAAACTCAGTTATTAACTAAGTTTTAATCTACTTGCCGAGGTACAATCAATACCTACGCCTACAATACAGCACAGCGTCTTTTACATTTTTATTGTACCCTATTTATTATGCTTATAAGGGATACATTGTTGTATTAATTTATAAATATAAAAATAAGAATCAATATTCCAAGTTGTTAATCAAGCATTGATTGAATTTGAGCATGCAGTGAATTTTTTTCTGTGGAACATTATTTAAGAGTTAAATTCAAACTTAGTTGTCAAACTGATTGGAATATAAAAAATGTGAAGGAAGAATAATGTTCAAAATGTATGTAACCTATTAGCTTATTAATATACCAATTGATCACTAAGACGGCCCGTAATGCTGTTTAAATAAAAATAAAATTTAAAATCTCTGAGGCACAAACACAATTTAAACTAATATTATAACATCAATCAATGCATACACATTTTTAAGAAGAGCTAAACAACTTAACATGTATAGATTCTAGGGAGTAACATAATTAACACTAATAATGTGTAACTAATAATTGATAGTTAACTCAAAGAATGTTAAAAAATTCATATATTTAATTAAAACTCACATAATCAAATTATAAATATTGGTTATACAAAATTTTGCTTGTATTTAAATTTTATTTTAAATTATAAAATAAACAAATAAAAATGACTTTATTATTAAATTAAACCTAATCAGTTAAATACACAATGTAATAAGAATTTGAATAAATTACTTGGTTGACAATAAATTAATATAAAACAAAAGTTATAGTTAATAAAAAAAATCTTAAAACTTAAATTAAATTAATAAAAAAATACACATCAAATATTGTTTCTAATAAATGATTTATATATTTAAATACATTCAACGAATGTACAGTAAAAACTTAACTTCATTGTAAAAGTAGTTAAAACAATAAAAATAGTAAAATGTATAAGGAATTTTTAGGATAAAACAAAGTAGAAAAGCATGAATGTGAGATTCAAGTAATTCACAAGTATTTTAATTTTTTTTTTCCGTATTATTATACTAACATTAAAATAACATCAAAAGTCAAAACATATTGTCATTTTGAATGGCTTAAAATTCTACTTATGAATACGCAAAATAAAATTATGGGGTATAACATGCCAAATCTTTCTTCTGATGCACTTTTAAGTTTGTTTTAAATCTGAAAGTCTTGTTACACTTATCACATTTGAATGGTTTGACACCAGTGTGTAATCTCATGTGTAATCTTAAATATTTTGGGGTTTTTAAGATTTTTAAACAAACTTCACACTGAGTAAAATTATAATTCATTATTTCTAGAGAAGTATTTTGTGTCTCATAATTCTCAACATGTTCATTTTTATTAGATGTAGAAATACTGGCACTGTGGATTTCCAAAATATGAGTACCTAGAGTAAGATTTGTTTCAAACTGCTGACCACAGTCGTTACACTTATACATATTTAAAGTGTGGATCTTTGAATGTTCTTGTAATGAAATATTGTCAGCAAACTTCATTTTACATAATGTGCAAAAGTATTTCATAGTATTTGTTTTATTTACTGATATGATTTGCTGTCTTTTTTTTTTATATGTAGAGTTTGTTTCTTCATAATGTTTAAATAATTGTTTGTGTTTAGTTTTTAAATGTTCTCTGTAAGAATATTTATGCTTAAATGTACTTCCACAAACATTACAAGTCATAGGTTCAAAACGTTTAGTGTGAATTATGGATATGTGGCGATTTAAATTAGCTCCATTGCTGTATGTTTTACCACATAACTCACATTTAGTGCCATTTATGTGACAACGTCTATTTCGTTTCCTAATCGCTGTTTTTTGTGGAATTGTGTCTATTAAATCGTCTTTTCGTGGAATTGTGTCTATTAATTCGTCTTTTTGTGGAATTGTGTCTATTAATTCGTCTTTTTGTAAATCGATATTATCATAGGTATTCAAATAAGCTGAATCTGACACTTTATGAACATTTTTTTTATGTACTGTCCGATTGTAAGAGGTACTATATGTTTTCATACATATATTACATCTGAATCGACCAGATTTGGTAGAATTCTTCGTAGCTTTATTTGATGTAAACTCTGGAAGGTTACTTTTACAATGACGACGACATTCCCTGCTCATTGTCATATGTTTTTTCCACTGAGATATTGAGTTATATTCTTTTTTGCAATATTGACATTTCATTTTATCTTTATGACTTATAGATTCAATCTTTAGTTTAGTAATGTTCGATTTTAGATTATTAGTATGCTGCTTACTTTTTAAATTTGCATTGTGTTTTTTGTAGTGGCCTTTTAAATGCCAATTCCATCGAAATTTCAACTGATAAGTTTTATTACAAATCTTACATACATATGGTACAATTTCAGAATGTGACTTTCGGTGATCATTCAATTGAAACGGAGTAGAGAATTTTTTCTCACACACATCACAGGGAAACCATAAATGTTCTATGTCCATCAAATTTGTACCGCTTGAATTACCATCAATTGGACTATGAACCTCAGAATCATTAAAACGCTCCATTTGCGGTTCATCATTAACTTCTACAACTATATTATTTTTGTTTTGAATGGGAGCACTTTTAACTACATTATTTATGACATGTGTTTTCTCATGCATAATATAAAGGCCTTTCCTACTAAATTGCATGTGGCAGTATTGACATTCGTATGTTTTACAACCATGAATACGCATGTGATTGGTGAAAGCACCGAGATGTGCAAAATGTGTGTTGCAAAACATGCAAAATGTTGATTTCTTTTCATTGCTTTTATTAACATGGTTGTTCAGATTGTTATTTTTGTTATTTACTGGAACTGATAATTTGTTTTCGTATTCATTAGTCAACTCTATGTTTTCAGACGGAATGATTGATTCGTTACAATCAATCGATGTAAGTTGTTTTGGTGTGTTTGGATTTATCTTATGCTTCATCATCATATGGTTTGTAAAATAACAGCGCTTTGTAAATTTTCTATTACAGAAACTACAGAAATTCGTTTTTTTAATTAATGATGATTTGTTATTTTTATTTTGTTTTATTGAGATTGTCTCAGAATCAGAGTTGTTGTCTTCTATACTTATGCTATTTTGGATTACAATTGGTTCAAGTTGAATATTCTCATTATTTTGTAATAAAAAATTGTGCGAGTTGATATGAGATTTTTCATGATTTGTACATGGACCCTTTCCAGAAAATGTTTTATCACAATACCTACAGGAAAATGGTTGTGATTTATTATGAAGAGTTTGATGAACTTTTAATGCGCTTGTGGAAGGAAGTACTTTTTTAAATGTACTACAGTCATTTTGGTATTTAATTTTGTTGCCACTATTTAACTTTGCTGTAGCTGAATATGAATCATCCGATAAAGATCCCTCAGATTTTCTATTTCTTAGGTTTTTAAAAACTTGAGGTTTAAATGTTCTAGATTTAATAGGGTATAATGCATTAGATTCAGTTTCTGTAGGGTTAAGCTGAATTGATGACATATTTAAATCTATTTGCTGTTGATGATAAGTCATGTGGTCTTTCCAAATAATTACAGAGTTAAATGTTTTATCACACACAATACATTCATGCATATTACACTCACTGTGATCACTCATGTGTAATGCAAATGAATGTATATCTGTAGATGGTGTATTTTTACAAATTCTACATATAAATATAACATTGTTTTGTGGTGTCTGATCATTATAGCCAAGTACATTTTTAATATTAGGCAATTTTCTAATACAGAAATAAGGTGTTTCTCTAACTGTAGGTACAATATTATTCTTGGCTATATTAATAGGGTTTTGTTCTGCCATTAAATTACGAGGTTCATTTGCTAAAGTTGATTCATTGCTATTCACTGAATCCGCTTGATCTGAACTGTTACTTTCTCTGTCATTTGTATCCAAGTTTTTTTCTTGCTTTATGTTTAGTAAATTGAAATTGTTTGCCATTGAGTTTTGTGAAGCAGTTGATACAATTGATTCATTGCTGTTTGCTAAATTTTGTTCTAAACTATTTTTTTCCTGCTTAATACTTAGAACAGGGCTATTGTTGTTTCCTAATGAATTATGTGGGGAAATCGATACACTTGATTGCTGTCCCAATTCATTTGATTGCTGGATTATTATTTGACGTTGAAAATGGTCTCTGACAGTATTATGATAGAATTTTTCCTGTTTTATAATCATAATTCTGTTGCGAAATATGTCTTCTGGAACCACCGTCTCTGGAAATAAATTTCTCCTTTCTAGATGGTGTTCTATTTGGGTTGAACTCTTTCTTTCCAAGGTATTCGATAAGGATGGAAGATTCTCACGGAATGGCTGCATTGAGGGCCGTGGAGCCATAGGAGTAGCTGATACAGTTTTAGAATTGCTGCTTACTAAACCTATTTGATCTGAACTATTTCTTTCCAAGGTATTCAATAAGATTTCACTTTGCCCTGAATTTGAAACAATGTTATTATTCGGGATATAGGTGTGTGGAGCAGTCGATACAATTGTTGAGCTGTTAACTAAACATGTTTGATCTGAACTATTTTTTTCTAAGATATCAGTTTTCTCAGGATTTGGAATAATGTAATTGTTCGGCATTGATTCATGTGGAGTAGTCGAAACAATTGTTGAACTGCTGTTCACTAATCTGGTATGATCTGAGCTATATCTTCCTGTAATATCTCTGGATAAGAATTGGCTTCCATTTGTATTAAAAGAAGGATCATTAACAACCTCAGTTTGATTATATTCTCTTACTGTAGATGTTTTATCAGTACTTACTTTCAACATTGCACATTGTTCAACTTTTTTGTGAACATCCGTATGTTTTAGCCAAAAATTCCTTGTACTAAAAAATTGTCCACAATATTTACAAGTGTAATGTTTACAACCAATATTTGTATGATTTATCAATGATAAAGAACTATTAAAAACCATTCCACAAGCAGAACACGTTTTTTCAATAGCATTGATTTCACTACAAACTTTTGAACTTCTTAAGCAATGAAGTAAATGACAATTTAATTGTTGTTGTTTTTGAAATTGTAGGTTACACTTCTGACATTTAAATAAATGTTTATTATGTATATTTTCCATATGATTATTCAATTCAGAAACTGAAACATAATCTAAGCAATCACTACACTGTGTTTGACAATTGTCATGAGTTTCCATATGTTCGGCCAAATTCTTTTCATTGTAGCATTTTTGGAAACAAATGTTACATTTAAATTCATTGGTTTTACTTTTCCAAACACCGTTTAATTTGCACAATTTTATATTAGGAATGGTATCAAACTTAGTTTGATCTCTTCTTTCATGGTATTTTTTGTGTTCAATATACTTAGAATATTTGTACATGGAATTGTGATGATTTTGAATGTGTCTATTCAAACCAAATTTTAACTTAAACTGTTTTTTACAAAATTTACATTTATGGTTTTTATAATTTACTTGTCTTTTGTGTTCGGCCAAGTGGTTTTTTAAAAGATAATTTAAAGCAAAGCTTTTTCCACAAATATTACAATGAAATATCTTATCACTTGTATTTTCATGATTTACGTAAATATTATTATCTGCAACATCCTGTGAGAAAAAAAAATGATTTATCAATAAAATAATTATTTAATGTTTATATATTTAAAGTATTCTTGTTGTATGTTATCTACCACGTCATGTACGCGATTCACCACTCATAATGCATAGTGTTGTATGCAATCCACCACCAAATGTGTTATCTATATACTAACTAAATATACTTATTCCAAAAAGTTAGATTCCCACATGTGCGTATCTCGTTGGTTGGCGTCGGATTGTCTAAAAAATGCTAGCAAAGATAGTTTTGATTGTTTTTTTTTTTATTGTTATGAGTGGTGTTTTAACTGGGAATATTGGAGTGGTAATCGTTCAAAAAGTGTGTCTTGAAAAAAGTTGGACAAAAAGTACTGACTAATTTTTTTACTATTGGACAACAAGTCCGAGCACATATATTGCCAGACAAAAATTTCAAAAATACAAAATATTCTATTAAACTTTTATTTATAATTATATTAATAACTAGCTGATCCTGTACACTTCATTGCCCGTTAAAAATACCAACTCTATATGATTCAAAATTTGTGTTCAACTTGTCATTTAATACTCGGTGCAGTCACATACTAAATGAATACCGAATATTGATAAAATATTATCATATTTGCAACACTTTATGAGATCGGAACACGTATAGATAAGATATGAACAACAAAAAATCACATATAACTAGGGTTGCCACCTTTGAAAGATAGCAGCCCAAGAGACAAGGCGATAAGCAAAAAAAAAAAAGGTCAACAAAAAACAATTTCACTGACACAAAAACTAAACGCAGATATTCAGATTATAAGTCATATACAAATCTATATAGGACTATAAATCGTATCTTATCTTATTTTTTGGAGTAAGAAAATCAATGTTCTTGTTATTGACAAACTATTCATAATTATATAAAAATGTTATGACCCGGAGAATAATTCACTGAACCTGAAGCCCGGATTATCCGGATGAAACCCGGAGAAGTGGCAACCCTACATACAACTGTGTTTCGGCATACTATATTGTTACTTCAACAAATAAGGCGGTAACTCAATTTCGCAACTTTTTTTTTTTTATAACTAATATTTACAGATGATTTTATTTTATTTTTGATTTTGATTGCCTTTATTTTTAAGTTTTCTGAAAGTTCAAAACATTGTATTTTAAACAATCGATAATATGAAAAAATGAAGATTATAAAATATGATTTTCAAAGTATTAAAATATTAACTATTTAAATATTTTTTTGTTTTTAATGGAATATCTAGTACCTACTTTCCTTGGTGTAAAAGTGAGGTTTTTTTTAAAAAAAAATATGAATGTAACATATGGCATATAATATTTAGCCACTTTTTCCTTGCATATTTGCATTATATTTTATGATATTGAATCATTATAACTATTTTATATTTTGTAGCCAATAGCAACCTTATAATAAACAAAAATATATTAATTCTAAAAAAATTTCTGTTTGCAAAAAAAAAAAATTGTAGCCTATAGGAATAATGGGATAGTATAGCTTTCTGAAGGTAAATTTTTTTTTAAAATCGATTTAGTAGTTCCAGAGATTAGCCAGGACAAACAAACAATTTTTCTTCTTTATATATTAGTATAGATCACTGTTACCTACTAAGATAACCGTGGTATAGATTAATAATATAATATATTAACATAATATGTAGGTACATTTATAATTAATATTCATTTAAAAATGTAATTAATTTTCTTATACAATATTAATATATTATATTTAATTATTATTCAAAATAATGGTAAATAAAATAATTCTTATTCTTGTAGAGTGATTGATGTTTGCAATCACATAATATACAATGTAGTTTTGAGGGTCCAATCCCTCAAAAATTAATAGTTGTGTAATTTATTTATATCTATCATCTATGACCCCCCCAACCCTCCCCAGGAAACTACTTGAACCCCCAACAATTTTTTTTTGTGTACCTGCCTGGATGTGTGTATTGACTATTTATAGATTCTAAGCGGGACGAGGAACCTAGTGGTTTTACAATGGTGTTTATTATTATTTTAATTTAATAATATTTGTAAACTGTAGGTAAGTATAAGGAATAGTAATAAAATATAATATTTAGTCCTATAAAGTTGTGGTTCTGTGAAGAATGTGTGGTGGCGACGAAATGACTGTGACACAATTTTTTTGCCCAGACTATTCGTCCGGGATTCATACAGCGTATACTCGGCATTTAGCATTTGGTGAATTAGGGTATACTACCCTGTGTAATAAGTATATATTATACTTTAACATTTAAACAAATTAAGCAATCTTAGTGGCGTAATTATGGGGGGAATATGGGGATATATCCCCCCGACCCTTTTTTTTTCTTTAGAATATCCATTATTAAATTCCCGTAAGTACTAAGTTTTAAAAGATTTTAAGATAAGAAATAAGAATTCATGAATATTAATACTAATATAAAACTACGATAGCTCATAAATTACAATATATGACAAGACAATTGTACAGCTCATAGTTACAACATAACACTGATAAATCTACAATTTACGACTCTAGATTAGTGTTAAAAGCATGAAATATATCACAAAAACGTGAAACATTGAAATTTGTCTAATACAAATATTAATGCTAGTTATGTATCAATTATTGATTATATAATCTAGATTAGTTCTTATAATAATCATGGAATGAGTACAGTGGTTGACATATTATTACTATATTGATTATTCTTGTTTTCGACTAAACTTGGTAAAACTTCGATAAAATTTGTGGTATTTCCCAGGAAATTGCTTATCGACGACGTGAGACGTCGACAAACAATGTATTATTATTATAATGATATTAGTAGATATTATTCTATTCTGTGGTATTAACTATTTTCGAATATTACATTACTGTAAAAGTGTAAACGTTGAGCAACAGTGCAAGTGCAACACCAATCTCGATTATTATTTATATTATAATAAAATAATATTTTTTCTTTAACTGTGGTCTGTGGATGTGTGTCTATTGTTTTCTATTATTTAATATATTACTAAATTACATAATAAATTATTAAATAAAAAATGAAAAGACAGTCAAATGCCTTTATTTATTTTTTCCAAAAAAAAGTTAAAGTAACTGATCAACAGAACAGCTTGTCAAAATGTGATTCAGATCAAGACCAACCTAGCAAAGAACTTGTGGTAATAAAGTTGAACTATTTTTTGAAATAATCTAAATGTTCATACATTTATGTATTTCTAATTTCTATGTAAATTTATAAAATTATTTATATAAATTTAAAAATCAATAACACAAGGATATTTTCTTAGGAAAAACATAAAGAATTAGATCAATCTACATCAATGATTTCTGTGGAACAACCTGTAAGTACAAAGTTAGGAAAAGTTAATGATTAAAAATTAACATTTTTAATTCTTAAGTTTATTAATTATTTGTATATTTTAATTTGGACATTGCTTCTATTTGGTTATTTAGTTGTATGCAAATATGCAATAATATGCTATTATTTATCAGCACATATTGTGATATGCTTGAAATATGCTACATAATATCATATTATAGCTTAATATACTAAAACACATGCTTTATTCTTCTTACATTTTAAGATTCAATGCTTAAGTAGCAATGCCCAGTACCATAAAAATGATATAGGTTTATTTGTTCATAAACATGATTTGGCTGATGAAGATAAATATCTTTTAAGTAACCTATACTATGATACTTGTTAGGTATATACCAACTATACATTAATTTAAATTTTTCATAATACTTGGCTAATTTAAAAATTTAGCTGTTGAAGATATTTTTTTACTTATTCATATTTCACAGGTTCTTACAAATGTATGGGTACCACCGCCAAATTATAGTTTTCTGATAACTGATAAAAACAAAAACCGTGGCCTAAGATTTCAATACAAATGGCTGACTGAGTTTGAATGGCTAACATATTCTGAGTTGAAAATGGGTGCTTTTTGTAAATTTTGTACTGTTTTTGCAAAGTCTGGTAGTGTAAACAATCAGCCGTTAGGTCAACTTGCTGTTAGGGCCTTAGATGAATGGAAAAATGCTAAGCAGGTTTTTATAATGTAGTACTTTTTTAATGTTTACAGTATATCTTATTAAATTGCTATGATTGTATTTTAGATTTTTCGTGAACATTCTAAAAAGCTATATCATGGATATTGTGTCGTGGACTCTAACCATTTTCTTAGTGTTTATTCTAAACAAAACTTATCAATCATTAATCAGTTAGATTTAGAAAGGTTGGTACTGATTTACTAATCATGTTTTTTTTGTATAGTATATCACACATGTACCTAATACCACTACTAAGTAGTTAATAATTATGTACCTAATATGCAATATTATTTTTAAACATAATTACTTACTTTATTTTATATAATTTTAATTGGTGTTGAACAAATCAAATCAAATAGAAAAAAGCTTATCCCAATTATTAATTGTGTGATCTTGTGTGGTCGTCAAGAAATACCTTTGCGAGGCCACAGGGATTCTGGAAGTTAGTATTTTATGATATTTATAAAATTGTATATATATATTTTTAATAAATACTAAAATACATCTATTCAATTTTTAAATAGACAGCAACAACCAATCAACCAATCTAGGTAATTTTAGAGCTATACTTAAGTATTGGAGTGAAGGTGATGATTATTTAAAACATCACTTAGAAGAACAAGGAAGAAACAAATACATCACACCTCAAGTTCAAAATGAAATAATTTCAGCATGTGGAGAAATAATTTTAAAAGAAATAGTAAATGAAGTAAAT